TCTCTCTTTCTCTCTCTCTCTCTCTCTCTCTCTCTCTCTCTCTCTCTCTCTCTCTCTCTCTCCCTCCCTCTCTCTCTCTCTCTCTCTCTCTCTCTCTCTCTCTCTCTCTCTCTCTCTCTCTCTCTCTCTCTCTCTCTCTCTCTCTCTCTCTCTCTCTCTCTCTCTCTCTCTCTCTCTCTCTCTCTCTCTCTCTCTCTCTCTGTCCTTCTCGTGTTTTCGTCTCACGCATGTGCTTTGGTCTGTGTGTCGCAAAAAAACTGGACTTTCCCCACCTTACTCCCAGGCCCGTGACATCTCCACACTTAGACAATGGACGGCGATAACTACATTTAGAACACTGTTGCATGATTATGACAAGACGACGGACATACAACTGGACATGACGAACTGAAGACGAAGATTTCTTTTCACACCACAGCAAGATGTACACATGGCCTACACTAAATAACCTACTGTAGAAGTACAAATTTTCATTCACAAAATCTTTCGTTAGATCGCTCCACCAGCAGGGTTCAGAAAAAAAACTTTAGTTTGGTACACAGTTTAGTTATTTGGTGCCCCCTAACGAACATAGCGAAAGTTAATTCCAAAACGAAACTTTGCACTTATGCAATACTACTCCATGTGTGCTTGCTGTGCTGTACAGGGCGAACGGTGTACGATTCCGCTGGCAGCAGTCCGGTGCAACATACAGCTGGTCCCTCGACAGCGTCTTTGTCGGCGTGTGCGCGGGCGGATGCACAAACGGTGGCGCCTGCCAAGCCAACGGAACTTGCAAGTAAGTCCTGCCGTGAGTCTTCACTGCACTGTAGTCTGCACTGTAGTCTGCACTGCACTGTGGTCTGCACTGTAGTCTGCACTGCACTGTGGTCTGCACTGTAGTCTGCGCTGAATGTTGGATATTGCAGCGGAGTGATCACTGATGGCTTCTCCGCTGGGTTTGAAGCCGATACTTGCCTGCGCAAGCCCAGCCTGATTATGGATAAGAGTGTGGGAAGCCCTGCCTAAATATGGATACGTCCTATGGGAAGCCCTGCCTAAATATGGATACGCCCTATGGGAAGCCCTGCCTAAATATGGATACGCCCTATGGGAAGCCCGGCCTAAATATGGATACGTCCTATGGGAAGCCCTGCCTAAATATGGATACGTCCTATGGGAAGCCCTGCCCAAATATGGATACGCCCTATGGGAAGCCCGGCCTAAATATGGATACGTCCTATGGGAAGCCCAGCCTAATCATGGATACATCCTCTGGGAAGCCCAGCGCAAATATGGATGAGTCCTGTGGGCTGACTTTCTGTACTGTCTCCGTTAACAAGGCACATTGCCGGTAACATTGCTCCTGCCCATGACAATGTCTTCAGGGGCATCGGAAGGTGTTATAGCGTGGTACGGTCAGCCATCTGAAGTACAATTTACTCATGGGAGAGTGATGGCTGAGCCGAAAATTTTGGAAATTTAGATCCCACGTCAGTGTATATTATTAATTGACGGGGTACCTGGGGCAAAAAGTGGTACGGTCAATACCGTAGTGACCGTATCGTGTGCGACGCCCCTGGTCTTTGTGTTGCGGTGCAGGTGTGACGTGTTTACTGTGAATAGCAACACCACAGTGGTGATGTCTGGCGCGGACTGCTCCAAGAGCAACTTCACGTTCCCAACTACAATCCTGGATACGTATGATTCTGAGGCCACCAGCGGAGCTAACTGGGTCTCGGCATCGGGCTACACGTTTGGCACGCGATGCGGTACTCTGTTCTCCGGTGGCAGCGCCTCCTTCGATCAGGTACGTGAAATGAAGCACTTCAGTGTTAAGTACCGAGGTCCTCACGGGTAGCACGGGTACCCGTCTACCCGTGCACACCACTAGAAATAATAGTTGTACGCAGTGTAGCCCAGGACTGTTAGTGTGTTCTGGGCTGGAAGTGAAGAGAACAGATGACAAGGCTACTATGGAGATTCAAAGTCCTTGAAAACGGCTCTTTTTGCAGAAATTCTAATTATCCTAAAACATACCCACTGTTATCTAAACCTTCCCAGGCACTCAGTCATGCACCCCGTGCACACCGTCACACAAAAGATCACAGCCTTTTCAGATAAGGAACAAATTATGCATGGTTGAAAAGGAGAGAGAAAATGAGAGAGACGCGAGAGAGAACTGGCTGCGCCAAGAAGAGCGAATGCAAAACCGCTGTCCCTGGCAAAACATGCGCGTACAAGTGCAGCACAAACGAGACCAGCGTACTACACGCAACAAATAAGGGTAGCGGGACGCAACCTAAAACGATACCAGTCTCCCCAGAAAGGTGCGCTGCTGCGCACAGCCCGCGTATCCATGGAAAACATGGTGCAAAACAAATGCAGAAATGCAGAAGCAAAATAAATAAATAAATCAGAAATTCGAACGACAAACAGTAGTGAGCAGGACGAAGACAGAAAGATCAAAGATGAGGAAAGAAAAGTGTTTGATCTGTCAGTGGGTGCTTGCACCCGATACGGGGTGACAGTAAACCCTGTCAGATAGTGACACATCGTAGAGTTATTCTGCAGAGGGACTTCACTGAGCAAGAATATAACAAACCACGTAAGTAACTCCAGCAAATCGTGAATAATAGTTGTAAATGCATACACAATGTTATCATAAGTATTCGAACACCATAGTTCCCTTTCACCCCTCCACCTGATAACATTGGATGGGGCATACATGTAATGACATACAGCAGGGAAGACAGATGCCTAGCGATAGCGAGCAGGGGGCTGCAGAGAACCACGGGGACGTAATTGTCGTCTCGGAAGGTTGAGAACGAACTGCCTCTTCTATCCTCGCCACGCCACACCTCAAAACGAACTAGTCAGTGGTTTTTCTCTAGAGCTAGAGAGAGAGCTTTTCATAGTTTACTTCAAGCGGCGACGGAAGAACTCATAATGGAGAACTAACACTGACAACGAATGACTGACGACTGTCAACAAACGTCTGACTCTGACAACGAATGACTGACAACTGACGACGAACGTCGGACAACTGACTCTGACAACGAACGTCTGACAACTCACGACGACCGTCGGACAACTGACAACGACATGGCAAAAGGAAAACATGATATCAGAAATTGGTTCCCTCGTCAGCACAAAAGGTGGTGTACTCAGCACAAAAAGGTGCACGTGTCAACAACAAAGCAGCGCAGCAGCATGTACGGGTCAGCAGCACAGAGACACAAATACAGCAGCAGCTACGACGAAGAGACAACACGTGCAGCCACATGTACACACAGAGACACAAATACAGCAGCAGCTACGACGAAGAGATAACACGTGCAGGCGCAGGTACAACACTATCCCCTACCAAAAAAAGACATCCACTCCTGTGGATGGAAGCAAAAGTGAAGTGTATAAAAAACGGAAGAAGACAGACCGGAGAAGAAGACAGAAAGACAGGGGAAATGAAATATGAAGCAACATAAACAGGCGACAATAAAACACAAAAGAGGTGGGCCACAACTGTTGAACGCATGACGAGTAGGCCAGGAGGGTTAACACCAGTCGGGAGCCCCGCAAAACTGTGCACCAATCAACGGAACCTGCAAGCAACAGATTTTTGCAGAGGACCCCGGCTGGCGAGCTGTTCGACCTGTGTTTGTCCCTTTGGATCTTTTATTCTTAGAACAGCACCAACCTAGTACGCCACCCATCCACCAGTCATGACAAAACAAAAGTACAAATGCATGAGAAAACAGGTTATGCCGACGGACCCAGCGACGCTTCCAGGAGCGGCGAGACCGACAGTACGCACCGACCGAGAAGAAGACTGGGGCAGCAGGACGCACACTGGCCGGCTGTCCGAAAACCGATGGCGCTACAGAAACTCCGAGAATCACAGGACACACACAGAAAGAGAGAAGGACTGACGCAAACATCTCAGCCATCACCAAAAATCAGAAAAGCACACGAAGGAAGGGAAGAACAGCCAGGAAGAACACGTCAATTGAAACAGGAGCAATTAATCAGTGAGGACACCATTGAGGACACACAAACAAATCGGTTACCAATACGCAAAAGATAATGAAGAAAAACCACAGGGCGCTACCCTGAATAACCACAGGTCTCTAACCTGAAAAAACCCACAGGGATTGAACCTGAAAAAAACCACAGGGATTGAACCTGAAAACCCGCAGGGATCGAACCTGAATAACACGGAACTTATAGTACATCCGCTCACAAAACCGAAAAACCGAAGAAAAAAAACTGTCCGGCACCGACTGGGACGCACAAGGGCCAGCCAGCAACACACGGAAACCATAACACCCGCAAGGCAAACCGATACAAAAAAGCGCAGGATCCCTGCAGACCACCAAGCAGACCGTGGCTCACCATGATCAGACGCCCACCCAGACGAACTAGAGAAACCCACATGCCGAAACACAATTATTACAAAACCATACGCTCACAAACAAAATTCAACCTGGATCAAGAACGAGAATCCTACATGAAGTTCACACCTCCCACCAAACCGGAAGCCAACAGCTTTCCTACTTTGTTGACAGTGCATGACCGAGCCTGACAACGCTCTACACCATGTACACAGAACATGGAGAAACTACTACTAAAACGGTAAAAACACGAAACAAAACAATATGGATCGACTACATACGAGGCAGCACCTCGAGAACGTTCAGGTGGACATCTAAACAAATCACGCGACACAGTCACACTATCGGAGCAGTCCGACGGCAACTCCGTGACAAGCACAAGTGCACAACACAAGACGAGATCAAAGCTACCCATGCTGAATGCACGACGAACATGCAAACACAAGTAATTCCAGATTCGAACGAGTAGCGCACGCACAGAAGTTTGAAATTTTCATACACAACAGTACAGTACGAGGCGTACAGGGTAGTCAGAGCAACACAACTAACACAACGGGGCGAACTTCCAACGAGCAGCAAGACTACACTATACTACGACTCGAGTACGAGTACACACTCGAACACAAGAGAACAAGGTTCCACGGGACCCGAGTCACCCGACGCAAAACAATTATTTGAAAATTCGAAATCGAATACAAGGTACGGCAACACATTACGCATAGCAGAGCAGACAATTACAAAGGCATGCTCACCTGAGTAGGAGCTCCGAGGATCTAGGAAAGGGTTGAACAGACGCAGCAAAGCGGAGCCATGGCGAGAACGCGAAGAGGAAAACGAAAAACACCGGCCGGAGAGCGACGAGCTTCAGGGTCGTGGGTTCGATTAGTTGGGCGCCAAATGTCGTCTCGGAAGGTTGAGAACGAACTGCCTCTTCTATCCTCGCCACGCCACACCTCAAAACGAACTAGTCAGTGGTTTTTCTCTAGAGCTAGAGAGAGAGCTTTTCATAGTTTACTTCAAGCGGCGACGGAAGAACTCATAATGGAGAACTAACACTGACAACGAATGACTGACGACTGTCAACAAACGTCTGACTCTGACAACGAATGACTGACAACTGACGACGAACGTCGGACAACTGACTCTGACAACGAACGTCTGACAACTCACGACGACCGTCGGACAACTGACAACGACATGGCAAAAGGAAAACATGATATCAGAAATTGGTTCCCTCGTCAGCACAAAAGGTGGTGTACTCAGCACAAAAAGGTGCACGTGTCAACAACAAAGCAGCGCAGCAGCATGTACGGGTCAGCAGCACAGAGACACAAATACAGCAGCAGCTACGACGAAGAGACAACACGTGCAGCCACATGTACACACAGAGACACAAATACAGCAGCAGCTACGACGAAGAGATAACACGTGCAGGCGCAGGTACAACATAATGAATGACCACCAACCAGATGATCAGATGGGGGGGAAATGTCCAAGCAAACCCAACCATCATCATCACCATCATCACGAGGACCATCAACGCGAACATCGCCAACATCAGGCGGGGGCACTAGAGGAGCACACGGCACATCAGGAACAACCAAACCAACATCACGCTTCAAGAGCTCGACATTGACCACCTTTTCCTGACGACGACCTGACTCAGGATGCACACGGCAAATCACAACACTGGCAGGACCAATAACATGTTTAACTGACCAACCAGAATCGAACGGGGGCTGACGTTTCTGGCGACGATCAGGGTTACGCAATAGAACACGATCACCAACAACATACGGACAAGAAGGCGACTCAACAACAGGCGCAGGGGCGTGCTCTGCAACAACCGCCGTCAAATAGTCGTGAATCCGAGCAGCCTTATCACACACACCATCAACCCAAAGAGAGGACGAAAGAGTAGATGGTATACCGTCCACAAATAGAGCACGAGGCTCCCAGCCAAACATAGCACGCATGGGAGAAATCTTCAATTCACTATGCGGACGAGTACGGTAGAAGAAGAGGAGAATCTCTAGCTCGGCTAGCCAATCGGCAGCAGTATCCAACACCTTGCGAATAAGAGTGAGAATAGTACGATTGAATCTCTCGGCGCCACCCTGTGACTGAGGGTGACGGACCGCACCAGTACGAACGCAAACACCAAACACATCCAACAAAGAAGACACAATAGCATTGCGGAACTCATGACCATTGTCGCAACGCACCACACGCGGCGGACCAAACTTCAAACAGAGACGCAGAAATTCCTCTGCAACAGAGCGACCATCATGACGCCGCAAGGGTACCACCTCGACCCAACGGGAAAACATGTCGACAACCACTAACACACAATGGTACTGACCGGTCTGGTTGACACCGAGCTCCAGTGTATCGATCTGGACAATGTCCCACGGCTTGA